AATCAAATACCAGTGTAAGAAATCTGGGTCAAGACAAAACTTCCTGAAACAACGATAGGAATCGAAAGCTCATACACGCTGCCTTTTATCTGTCTTTTGAAAGCAAAGTTTAAAAAAAAAAATCAAAAGCTTTTTTTCAAACGGATGGCTCTTTTGCCCTTGTGAATTAGATTCATAGAGTTTCCAAGAAGCTTCAGCACATACTGGGGAAGAAGTTTAAGTTTAATAAGAAATGGATAGGGCTACTTCTTCAAGAATAGTACTGTATTTGAATTACTATTTACTTGAATGTTTAAAAAAATTCTCCATGCCATGTGTTCACTGTAAGAAAAGGATGATTTCAGAAAAAAAACAGCAGCACACTGACATTCCTGTCCATAATATAATTTTGAACCACTTAAGTTCATAATATAACTTCAAATCATTGATGTCCATCTCATCTCGGGTCAAATATGACCAGGCAATTATGTTTACCAGTGTTTGAAACATTATTTTAGGATAGGACAGCAGCAATAAGATCAACACTAGATTAATCTTTAATAAAGTGTCATATGAATCAGCTCTCAGGATTACCCTCCCTGTAGTGAACTGATCCTTTGCAACAAGGTTTCAAATCTAGAATGCCTTCTATACTGTTTGCCATGATCACATGGATACTGCTTTGGCCAAACCACTGGAGGAATCTACCAATGCAGAAGTGGACCTTCCTATTCTCTTCTGTGGCTCCCTGAAAATCTGCTCAGAATCTCCCAACATTCTAGCTTTTATGTGGGCAAGCTGTGATAGATATCTCTCTCCTGGTTCCACCAGCTGAAAACCTTCACTGGATCCCACTCCAGTATTTTCTGAGAACTATGTTCTGATGAATGCCATTGCCATGATATTACATGACTGTCATTCTCCGAAGTACACTGGCATATTGTTAACAAAATAGGAGCTACCCAGATTTCACACTAGCGTGAAACACAGAGTGGTTGGCCTGCCATCAGGTCAGCTTCTTCCCCACCCAAAGAAAATATTTCCTGAAAACCAACACTATTCTTTAATTATTTTGCTATAGCTTTCAAATGATCATTTAATATTCTTCAATATTACTTTATGATGAATATGCTTCAAAGAGACTTCTGAGGAACAGAACTCAAGAACATCTCAGGCTCAGAACAGGACACAGTTCTATGCATGTTTAGACAACTGGCTAGGGGATGCTGGGAGTTGTACAACT